AGCCAGTTAAGGTTCTACAGGCGTCCCAATCTGATTCTTTTTTTATGCCACACCCCAGCTGTTTTTTAATGTTTCTAGGTCTGGAATAATTAATCATAAATAATCTGCTATTGAAATAATTGTCAACTAATTTAGGTATGGAATAAAATGGTTACCTTGATTAATGGTACATAGACCCTAAAACATGTCATTTTTTGAAAGAATAACCTACTTGCAGGTTTATTTAAGACAGAACTCTACAAAGATAAGCCCTAAACATTTATAAACTTGCTATAAAAAGTATATACAACTTTTACATTAAAGATTAAGGTAACGTAGGATCACATATTGAAATCTGTGTTAGCTCCGCCTACTGTACTGATGAGATTAGCAGGTGAAGCAAGATATGCTGCAGTAGAACAACATAAACTAACCTCCAAAAAACGTGATTGTTTGATTTTTGGATGTAAAATCAATTAACTGTTGTTTTTAGTTCCTTTTAAAGTCTGATTGTCTGTAGAATGATCTTGCCTCCCATAGCTTCCTCTTGATTAGTATCCGCCAGGTCTGACACGCCTGCTTCCTGTTTCAGATCAGGGAGCTGGAGCCTCTGCTGTGTCAGCCGGGTCACACCTCCAGGTTGGTGTGGACGTCCTCCAGTAACGCCCGGCGCTCGGCTTTCAGCATCGAGGACATCCAGCACAGACGAGGGAAGGAGCCCTACAGCTCCTCCAAATATGCTTCAGATATGCTCAGTTTGGCGCTCAACAAGCACAAGAACCAGCAGGTTAGTCTGCCGCTCAGTGATGGAAGCTCTGATGTAGAACCCTGAAAAATATCCCCCATGTGTGTCTTTGTGACAGGGCCTGTTCTCCTCTGTGATCTGTCCAGGCCTGGTGATGACGAACTTGACCTACGGGATCCTTCCCTCCTTCTTCTGGACTCTCATCATGCCCATCATGTGGCTGGTGGGTTACTCTTTATTTATGCTGCATTTTCCGTCCACTCATAACTTTTTTGATAAGTCTGGTTTGACCACACAGATTCGTATTTTCACCAATACCTTCACGCTGACGCCGTATAATGGAGCTGAGGCTCTGGTATGTAACCATACTCTGAATGGTTCTCATGTGTAAAATGGAGTAAAGGTAAAAAAAATGGTTCCTGCTCTTGTCTGTCGCAGCACTGGCTGTTCCTTCAACAGCCCGAGTCTCTGGATCCAAGAGCAAAGTATCACAGCCTGACATCCGGACTAGGGAAAAACTACACTGAACCCCGCAGGGTGAGTAACGTGTTCTAAAGTGGTTCTGATGCAGGTCGGAATTATTTGTTTGCCCAACTTCTGTGATTGATCCCAATTCTGATGGACTAAACATGGAAATAAACGGGTAAATGGTTAAACTTCAGCTCTTGACATACACACATGTGGTACGCATCTCTCATATTCATTTCAAGCTTTTAATAATGCTTTTATTTTGGCTTGGAAAAATGACACAACTGAATCGAAAACAAGATTTTGCTGCAAAACTAAGCAACGTGACGGGAGCTGATTTATGGCTCCTCCTACGCGGAAATGCAATACAGTGAAAACAAACCTCTAAAAGAAAAATCTCTTAAGAGCAACACAGAGAATCACAACCTTACCATAGGCTTTTAATGAGGCCTGATTGGGGAATATGCAAAATCAAGCATTTTTTTAGATTATTAAATTATTTCAAAGCAGCAGCAGACAAATCAACAATAAACCCATGTTTTCCAAAGACAGAGGAGGAATAATAATGGACACAATCATGTTGGCTGTTAGTTAAGTTTATGCCTGTTAGTTACCAGTGTTGGGCACGTTACTTTGAAAAAGTAATTAGTTAGATTACTCGTTACTAAAACAAG